AACTACATCTTCCCATCCCAGCCACCAAGATCCCCACTTACTTGACCAATATTTCTGGTGACTGAGTCTGCAGCAGAATGTTCAAGTAAGTGCATCGACTCACCATCTTCCGTGCTTCCTTCATCAGACTGTAGGAGAGGACCGGGTTAGGAATGGAGCAGTCAGAGCGCTGCTTCTTCCAGCAGCAGAGCCTCTAACCTGTGAGCACCTGGACATCCCCGATAACTTGGGACTTTGCTACAGAGTGGGTCACATGGGCCTCTAGGAAGATGGGATAGATCCAGAGTGAAATGAAAACCCACAGGAGGATGGAAAAGAACTAGGGGGTGAGCATCACTGCTTCCTTAACACACAGGACACATCTGATTCTACTTGCAGGTGAAGAGTCCCAGTCCTCAACAACCAGCCTTCAGTAGTCTGTTCAGGACTGGCTTAGCCATTTGCTTCCCCTGGGGATGTAAAATGTGACCCAAAACAGAACCAAGAATTCTGTCACCTGGCTACCCATTTCCTTCCAAAGGGTGACTCCCCTGAGACTGTGGATATCCAAATATCTAATTCCATTATACCCAGGAATCAAGGGACTGCCTTTTCCTATCACTTATTCTAAAATTATTGGGCTTCAACCCCATCCCACTGACTTTCCCTTTCCTTCCCAGGCACACTTGGCCTGTCTACCTTAGTCACAACATACAATATCCTCCACTCACAATGAATCCGAAAAGGGGTAGACTCACCTGAAGATCTTGGAAATCCCATCCACACTCTTGACTTCCCCATCTCGGTTAAGGAAGCTATCCAGGCCTTTGAGAAGCTCTTTGGGGTCTATGGGACCTGAACCCATGACTGAGGTTTCTAAGATGAGAGAACAAAACAAACCCACAGAATAAATGAGTGGCAAGGACAATGCCAGCATGTCCTCTAATAAAACCCATTTCCACATCTGACAAAATATAGTGACTATTCAATTTATGTTCAACTACACTCACCATTTTAAAATAAGGAAAATCAACACAGACCATAGTCAGCACTGAGAAAACAGCCCTGGCAAGTTAAGCATGGCTACTACATGACTGGAGGACTAGGGCAGCGCACCTCTCCCCTCCCAGTTACATCCTTCCTAGGACAGCTGACAATTAAATAGCATTAGAGCTAAGATTCACATCCCTGTAACAAAATGCTCAATTCTCCAAAGTACTTTAGCTTATTGTTAAGTCCTATCTCTACTTCGTTGCTTGTAAATCTGGTTTGAAAAAAACCACCTGTGACTTGATAAAAACTAGGACAATCTTGGGTGTTGGGCTAAATGTCTTCCAGGAGTAGTCAATTCCTTTTTAACTTAGCTCATTAAGAATCATAATCACAAGTGGCAGGATATGTACTACTTGCACCAGTCGACAATCAGCTAAAGTGATAGGTGACAAAGAAACAAAACTTGAAAACAGAACCTTTCCTCGGGGGAGGTGTAGTTCCCAGAAATGGAGACAAATGGATGCAAAGGCAACCAAGCAGGTCCTCAGCCTTAAATGGAATGTCGCTCATTAACCAAATACTGCGAAAGTTTTTATTGTTTCAAAGTTAAGAGCATGATTAGTTTGTGGTTTCAAAAGCAAAGGTGCAAATCTGATCCCCTATTTCCACCCACCCCCAAATCATATCACTATTCAAGATCCCTAAGAAAGGCCTGAAATTAAAAATCATGGAATCAAAAAGATGGAATAAAGGTAGAAGGTGGGAAAATGCCATTAAATTTTAAGTAGCTAGGTTAGACCAGGTCAGAAAAGGAGTTAAAAGTTAAACTGCTGATGTGGGATAGAGAAGTGTGAAGCAATTTCTAGGCCAGAAACCAAGTTCCAGAGAGGAAGTTGAGAATCAATATGGCTTTGATTGGTATTTTTACCCATAATACCTCAAAACACCTCTGAGAACCCCAAAAGAAAGCCACCTCAATAATATCTGCTTTTGGGAAATCAAGTTAACACATTGGGAAGGAAGGAAGCAAGAAGAAAACCTCGTGCACCTTGCTTCTAGCACAGTTAACAGACAGGATCCCAACAGAAGTGTGGGGAAATCAAGGCTTTACAAAAACGAATATATTTTGTGCAGAAAAGAGAACAGTTTTCCTATCATGTAAATTAGTTCTCAGACAAAAAACAAACAATAAACTGCAACAATCTTAACCTTTAAGTCCTCCCAACAAAAAGCTCAGTAAATTTCTAAATGCATAGGTCTTAACAACCTTGGCAAAAAGAGGCAGAAGGAGGAGAGGGAGCTGGTTCTTGAGATCACAAAGTGCGCACTGAATACAGGGAGAGGAGATGAGGTAAGAAATGCTGAGAGAGGAGCAAATCTGGGTTAATTGTGCTGTGACTGCCGCCCTGGAACTTCCACAAGTTCAGGTAGACCCTGAAGTCAGAGGAAAAAACATTGAAGAATATCAGATAAGAAGCGCACAGACCAAATCTGTGGTGATTCTTATACAGACAGACACAAGGATAAAGGAAATTTTCCCATGTAGTAGATACCACATACTACAGGCACTAAAAAGAGATATATAGATACAATAAACGGAGATATAAAACAGATTTTCCGTCTATTGAAGACTGAAAAAGCAATGAACAAATCCAAATAACACATATCATCAGCAACCAAGATATATACAATTTGACAAAAAAGCCTTCAATTAAACTATCACCTCAAACCAGCCCTCCTAAATACAGCTGACCCCAGAGTCAAAACTGGAGTTGAATATACATCACCTTGGAGAACTCCCTTTTACATATCCAACTAACAGTTAAGCCAACAGGCCTGCTACCCCTGCTTCCTTCAGAAACTCAAAAAATTATCACCTGAGCTCAAATGTTCCTTCACTTAAGAGGATGGGAGACAAGAGAGATCAATTAGTACAAAGCTAAATTCTGTCTAGCGCCTTCTGCTGGGAATGGGACCCAGGGACTTTTCCATTCTCATTCGTAACAAGCAAGAATAAGTCAGTCAAGAGAAGCTAGGAGACAAAGCAGAAGTAATGTTAAATATTCATTTTCCATTATTTTCCCCTATTATATTTAAAAAATACAATGAACAAAACTAAATTTTCTCTCACAAGCACCAATCTTGTGATTAAAAGGTGAGTTTTCTCATAACTTTCCCACAGGAAGATTAGCTTTCACTCATTTAAAATTAAGGACCCCAAGTGTCTGACAACCCAATTTCCCTCTTTTGAAGTTAGTACATTTTGAAAGAAGTTCCAAGGCACTCAAGTGGAAAGGAATAAAGAGCCTAAATTCCTGGCACAAGCCTCCAGTACAAAAGGCAAATGAGTGACCAGGGGCGGGGCAGTGACCAAGTGTCATAACATTACCTAGTCATAATATGGAGCCTGCAATGGAAGCTTGAGGAAGCTTTCTGGAACCAAAAATAATCTAGTGCATGATATACTGTAATTTCCTTGAAGGCAGTACAGAAGGGAGGGTGGAGGGAGCAAGCCCTGGGATATCTCCACCTTGTCCTATCCTATGCTCTTTATGGAGGATGTTGCAGGCAGAGACCTCCACAACTGACACAAGGCACTGGGGAGTTTTCTACTATTCTTACCAGTGATACAATTTAAAAGTCCAGAAGTGACACTGACTCTTGCCTCCAAAATGAATTATACTTGAGAGTTATTTAATTAAATAGGGTGAAAACTATTTAGCTTGGCTAAAGTTATTCCATACCCATCACCAATGAAACAGAACAGGGTTGGTTCAGGACAAAAATTCTATGCAAGTCAGAGTTCTTTTTAAAACAATCACAATACTCTTCTAACAAAGGAGGAAGGAGTCAGAGTTTAGCTTAACTTAGAGGCTTTAGCATTTCTGGAAATGAAAATGCTTTGTACCTAAGCATTTCCCCTTCCTTTCCTCAATGTTTGATGCATTTCTTAACGTGACTCAACAGTGGACTGAATTATGTCTCTGAGGTGGTTCACAAGGATGTACCTTTCTTCTAAGTAGTAAGCCCTATCCCTCAGTTATTTTGAAAACCTGGTGCATGAGCTCCCCGAAAGCTTATTCATAAATCACCACCCCCACCCCATCCCAACAGGAAAGGATCCCAGAATAGAACTCTGGCCACAAACTACAAGGATCAGTTTTTCCAGAAGGACTTTGTTTCTCATCTCCCAAGTTAATGAAGATTGTCTTTATTAATCCCCTGCTCACTAGAGATCAGGAACCCCAGTGGGCAGAATGTTCAGCTCCCAAGGAAGGTATGCTGCAGAGGCACAATGCAAACTGCTTAAAAGATAAAAAAAACTTGTGGTCAATAGACATGTGGAAGACATGTCCCTCCCATCCAATCCATAAGTTTAGTAACTTGAGAATTCACACCCAGTAGAAAATTAGCCTGAAGTCTCACCCGTCACCATGGCAGTTGTACCAAATGGCTTTCCAGTTCTGCCTAGAAACCTCCATGATTCAATGCAGGACTTTAAAAAAGTAAAGGTATATGGAGAATCTGGTAAAGATTTGCCTTTGGAAAAGTAGAAGGGACAGGATCCCACGACCCCCCTCAGGCAGGGCCTGGCTTTCCTGCAGGCACCCACTGCACAAGTTGAAATGAAGGCATTTTCCTCCCCGTGTTTTAAGGAATTCCTTTTACAAGGTAAGGAAAAAGAAACTCAAAAGAGGTGGCCCTTGGGATAAAAGAAATGCAGGCCGTGAAACGTAATACCAGAAAGGTTTTGCTTACCAGGAAACGTGGCCGGGCTGCCCCTGCCTCGAGCTTACCACTGCGGCCTCCTCTCTGAGGCTTCTCCTCCCAGTACCAAAGCACAG